CTCCTCTTTGCTGTTTGGTTTTGTGCTTCACCGTGGAAACAACAAGCAAGTTTTTTTTCTTGATTCATACGTAAGTCGGGCTGCTTTCTCCCAGGTCATTCAATTCGTTTCCATGTAAGAGCAGCGAAGAGTGCATATAAGTGAAAAGAGAGAAAAAGCGACCCTAGGGGAGGCAGGGACAAAACGCGAAGAGGCGATTGAGTGTATGAACGAATGCACGAATGCTCGAGGTTAAATGATCCTGTTCAGCAGCGAGAGAGAGTGATCAAAGATATTTGTACAATACATCCCCTCCGCCCTTGTCTCATAACTGTTGAATAACAACAAGCAAGCAAGCAAGGCGCAGGACGGAAATGACATCCCTAGCATCCACAACCACAACGGAAAAAGATGAATGGCCCTTGCACATCTAAGAAAGAGTCTTTGGTGAGCTGAGAAAAAAAAACAATAGCTGCTCACAGAACCTTAGATATTGACTTGCTATGAAAATATTGTATGTAATCGCATGACATCCCATCCGATCGTCTTTTGATAATGATTGTAAGAGTACCTTTTCCCTGTATTGCCAGCGAAGTATGGTATTATAGTGGTCTACCTAGTCGATGGTTCATAAGTTGACCGACCGAACGAACGGCGCCCGAAAATGTAGTACCCAGCCAAAAGCCCAGGAAGAAAGAAAGAGGAGAACAAAAATCACAGCTCCAAAAGAAATGCATATGTCGAGCAGTGTATGTATATCTTACTATCTTGTACAAAATGAATACAGGTTCAGCAGCCAGCAGAACAATCGATCCCATCGATAATCTTTTTCTTCTGCGGTCTCGCGTTCATCTTTGCTGCTGTTCATCTTTTCATAACGCTGGAAAGGTTAATGAAGATAGGGCGGTGATGAAAAAAGACTGAACATCGCTTCTATGGTACAAGAGTTGATGTGGTGGTCCGTTGCAATGGTTGTCAATAGAAAGATAAAAACAACGACCAAAATCAGCTTGATCTTCAGGCGTGACAGCAGGGTTGACAGAAAATAGGTACCTCTATTTCTGTATGATTGTTCTGTAGTACCTCCGAGGATGTTGAATGCCATGAGAGCATCTTTGTAGTTCTGGCGATGGTACCGATAGCGTTGCATCGTGTGAGTATGTATAAGTTTTGCATAGGTGCATCTACAGCCATTCGCCAATGCTATCCACCCCAGTACTGTTGTCAGTGTTCAGAAACAAAAATGCGCCTGACTACTGTTCCTCCCCCCCTCTCCTTCCTCCTTTGCCGATTCAAACGAACAATGGACTCAGGCAGTGCGATTCATCTACCAGCAGCTGCTGCAAAAGCTGCCATCGGCTTTCTTTTTCTCCTGTACAAATTTATGCAAGCGCGCCTAGTGCAAGAACGAGCAAGGCAGCTAAGCAGGCGACGAGCCCCACATCTGCTGGGTTTTTGCCCTGAACCAGAAAGAAATGGAAGTATGCGTGGGAGAGAAGAACGAGCGAGAGAGCGAGGGAATTGAGAGACGAGCGGGATGGAAGGATCAACGAGGTGAAATGCAACAAAACAGAAAAAGGGCCAAAATGGGAGCTGAATTCTGTATCATGGGAGCTGAAATCTGTATCGAGAGCACCATTTGTGGGCACCGACCTGGCATCTGCTCATCTCTTTCTGTGTATGGATTGACCCTTTTGGTTGCGATATAGTCACTTGCGCCGTTATTGCCAGAGCGAGTGATTGAGCATGAAGACGAGGCAAAGTGTGTATTCTCGACGGGATGATATCTATCCCTACACATTTGAACAACTGTGAACAGCTGCGGTGTGAAGAAACAAGGTGACCATTCAACTAATCCTTGACCCGCCTGCTATCTTATTCCGTTTATTTTTTCAATGACATGTCCTCGTCTTCTTGTTTGCTACCATATTGGTCTGTAACACTGAGTGCTTGCACGTTTCTTTGCTGACCCTGTGTCTGACAACGGCAACTACAACTATCGCCCTCTCTTTCAACATTATAGTTTTTGGAATGAATGACCATTCAAATAGAAATCGTTTCGCTATGGTTTTCTGGAACCAGGTCTCGCACGACCACCACAAAAAAGGTTTTCACGTACAGAGGGTTGTGTGAGGGATGAGAGGTGTGAGAAGACAAATAGAGAAAAATGAGTGAGAAGAATGGAAGGTCGTCAGACCAATGTTTGTTACTTGTGGGCCTATGAGACTGCAGCTGGACCTGGCCAAACAAGGGCGAAAAAAACGGCAAAAGCAAAAAAAAAAAAAAGGATTCATGCCTCTGCCAACGCTGGTGAAGAGTCACTTTTCTCTTTCTTACGTGTTGTTTGTTCGAAAGAATCTATACCTACTTGTTGGTTAAAGTGTTTCTTGAGATGCAAAAGACTGAAGGAAACTTGCAAGTCAGATTCAATGCCGATAAGTCTGTTGACCAGTTTCTTGTTGGCAAATGTTCCCAAGACGCCCTGTCCCTCAAACGACAATGCAACAAAAACCGAAAGAACTGAAGTAGAAGAGATCAATGAAAAAACAGACAATCAAGGAATGTCGTTCCGGTATTTTCATAAATAAGGATGTCGTGCAGTTATATGTTAATGGTCAATGATGCAATGGGACCTTGCTTCTGCGCGAGAGAATGACTAATAGTGGTGGGTTAGTTAGTCCTCGGTTGTCTACCAGTAGTACACCAAGTGGTCTAAACGTATGATTGCCACTGACAGACACTCGTCTTTTTTAAAGTAGAAGTTTGAATGAAATGGCATACAAAAAGGAGGGGCAACACACACAGAAAAATGAATTAGAAAATGAGTGCATTTAGAATACAGGGATTGTTGCATTTGCGGAAAAGAGGGGGAAGGGAGAGGAGAGAGAAGGAAGAGGGAGGGAGGGATTGTGCGTTGAATGGTGTATGTGCATGGGACAGAGATGAGAGCATGAGCTACTCCTGGTTTGCTCTGTTCGCTGTTCGCTGTTTGCTGTTGCTCCAGTCTCTTGTTTTCTCCACCAGAAGACCAAAAGGGTATGCGAATGTGTGCATGTAAACGTGAAATAGATTCAATTGAAGGCAAGCAACATCCCTTTCTTTTTTTCCTGCTTTGTACAGTGTCTGTGTGAGTTCACATCTCCTATCATTGTTTTATCCGTTGATGCCTAATGCTTAATGCGAGTAAGGAAGTGGGGTGGGTGGGTGACAAATTGTGTGCGTGTGCCTGAATGGCAACGATGAATAGAAAATGGAGTGGATGGAAGAAATAGCCCTTTGGTGATTGTTGTTGCCAATATGGTTTTCTACTAGCTCCTTATTGACGGTACTGGTGATGATGATGATGATGATGATGAGGGTGACGATGGTGATGACGGCGATTCTTTTTTCTTTTTGGCCCCGACACAATCAGTCAGCCAGTCGGCCGGTTATGAAGAAAACAAATATTAACAACGAATCAATATCGACCGTTGCTATTCATTTCTGATATTCATCACTACTCTTCATTACTCTTCATCACTGCTTATTGAATTGACTGCTGATTATTCTATCTGCAGAAAGAACCCACAGGCCACTCTCCCTCCCTTCAAAATACTGAGCAGTCAGAAGAAGAAGCGAGGGAAGGAGTGCACCCCTTTTCTCCTCTTTATTTACTCTAAAAAAATCATTCAATTGAATTCTCACAAAGTTGTTGCTGTACTCCGCGGTAATTCCCTTGCTCGTTCATCATCGTCGATCCGCTCTGTCCCTGGTCCAGTTAGTTAGTTTGCCACAGCCAACATATAAAAAGTAGACCCTCTCCTTCGCTTTTTCCTTTCTATTTTCTTTTCCTTCCATTGTTCAACATCTTCCGCTGGTTTTCATCCCTCTCTATCTCTCTCTCCCCACTCTTCTCTCTTCCGCCCTCTCCTTCCCCTTCTCCTTCTCCTCATTGTACCATTCTCCCTCTCTTTTCTTTTCTACCTTGTACATTTCCCTACTCTCTCCTCCATTCAGCATCTTGTATCATCACCTTTTCTGCATCAAATCCAAAACGAAAAAGTTTCTCTCCACAATCACTTCCACAATAGGCACTTCACATTGTCTCGCTCTGGTATATTTTCGCCGTCCTTGGTCAGAACAGAATCGATCCCTTTCCATTGAACTAGATGCGACACATCTAGATCTGATTCCACAAACGACGGTTCATATCATTATATCATCATCCTCCTCCACAACCTTTTCTTCCTTCCTTCCTTGTCGTCTGTTGTCGATTCGTTACCCATCTTTTCCCTTTATTTGTTGCCAACAGCCTGCCCATCCGTCCGTCTGTCCCATAACTTTGACAGTTACACGGTCCCGTCCAGAATTTTAATTCTTTCCGACTCTCCTTTTCCAAACGTCAGTTCGTTCAACATTTTTTTTTTCTTTTTCTTCTTCACCTTCGCTTCTCCTCTTCTTTATCACTTCCACTTTCGTTATATATCATCCGCTTTCTCCACCTTTTCTTCGTCTTTTATTCTCTACACACTCTATCTTTCCTATCTTGTCTCCTTCTTACCTTCCAACTCACGCCCACAACCCCCCACATACTACATACATACATACATACATACATATCAATACCATGCCTTCCCTCGCAGAGCCAAAGACATACTCCAACAGAAGTCTGGAGAGACTCTTTCGCAGCCCTGTCACCCAGCAAATGATTGGTGAGTACAACAACCACAACAACCACAGCAACAACATTCACTTCCCATCCATTTCAACAACCTTACCTTCCAGTTTCTTCCAACTGCACAGCCATCGTCGCCATCCGCTTCGCTCGATTCCCTCCGAACGGCGCTCGTCTCCGATAGAATCTGTTGTTCTAACCATTTTTTTTTGCTCCGCCCACTTCTTTCTCCGGCATCTCCTCCTCACATCCAACAGATCATATTGCCAACTACGCTAGCACAGTCATTGAGTGTAGCCCTCCTCCACCCCCCCACGACTCTTATCACCTCCCTTCTCCCCCAAACACACCCGCCAACCGTTCGCGAATGCACAACAACAGCAGCAGCCAGGAGCCCTCGGCCGTTGTCGTCCCTCCCCTCAACGACTTTATCCGGCTCTTGGTCCTTAACTCCAATGTCCAGTCCTCGACCCTGTTGCCCACCCTTGTCTACCTCGAGCGCCTCAAGTACAAGCTCCCCGTTGCTGCCAAGGGTAAGTTTTTTTGGCAATGCAAAAAAGAGAGGGTCTTGACCATTCATTCATTATTTGGCTTGTGAAGGATATATGTATGGTCCGGGGGGTGATCTGTGCTTTTTTCCTTCTTCGTTCTCTACTCCCACTCCCTTTTGGGTACTTGTTTGTTTGTCTCCTATCCCTTTCTCCCTTTTTGCATATGATTCCCCTTATCAATTGGTCGTGTTTGTCGCCTATGAGAAGTCCGCTTTTTACTTTTGTTTTTAAGAAATTTATTGCGTCTTGGATGGTGAACAGTGGATGATGCACATGTGCGATATGGTGACCGTCATTGTGCCCGATTCAGATCGAGAACACAGAAGCGAGAGCCCTGTTCTCCCATTCTTTGTTCTTTCCATGTGGATATTACAAGAGGGGGCCACGAACGATGGAGAGTCAAGAGCCTTTTTCTCTTCTCTTCCTCGCGAATGTGATCATCGTTCCGTCAACCGTTGCACAAAAAAACATCATCTCATCCCATTTTGTTACCATTTCAAGCCCCAAAAGATATTCATTCACTAACGGCCTTTTCTTCTTCCTTGCTATCTGCATAAACAACAATTAGGCATGCACTGCACTTGCCATCGTGTCTTCTTGGCCACACTCATCGTTGCAGCCAAGTACCTGAACGACCAGTCGCCTAAGAACAAGCACTGGTCCGCCCATTCGTCCGTCTTCTCCGTCGGCGAGGTGAACCTCATGGAGAAGCAACTCCTCTCCCTCCTCGACTTTGACCTCCGCATCACCGAGGCAGATCTCGCCTCTTCCCTCCAGGAGTTCATGCATCTCCAGCAGCAGACTTCTTCCTCTACTCATACCACGACCGCCCCTTCGGAGGCATCCAGCCGGTATGCCTCCCCCGTGCCCGTCTCTAAGCCCGTCACCGTCCCCTCACCTACCAGCAGCTACATCCCCCAGTCCATCCCCCTCAATCAGCCCAGCTCCAACAAGCGCGGATCGACCAGCCGACAGGGTGACATCAAGATGCAGATGGAGTTGCCTCCTCAGGAGCACTTCAAGCGTCGCACTTCTCTGCCCAACCAGCCCTGCCTCGAAGAAGGCGAGGTCATGCCTGTCTACAAGGGTCTCATGCGCAACAACCAGGACCAGTACCCTTCTCCCGATGGTGCCACCGATGATCTCGCTCCTGCTCCTCGCAACGACGACATGACCCCTACCTCCTCGCATGCCTACAACGGCGCTGATGCCTATGCCACTGCCCAAAAGGCCTGGATGGCCTCCGCTGGCGGTCCCATGTACAGCTCTGCACCCAACCCCCGCTTGTCGCATATGCCAGCACCTATGCACCCTCACCACCCTCACCATCTCCCTCACGGCTATGCCCATCACCAGGAGACTGGTGAATTGGAGGATATCAACCAGTCCTCGACTGGCCGCAATTATGGATTCAGCCGCGCCATGTGCTAAGATGACTCCTCACCTTTTTTTTCTTGTTAATCTCTTCGTATCTGTACATTGTTCTCTTATTTTATTTCTCTTTTGCTATTGTTATCCCCGCGGAGAACCACCACGGTTCCCAATCAACACGAAAAACGAAAACACTTTATTACCTGTATTTTTAGACACCTAACAAAAACAACAACAAAAAACCCTGGTCTCCCTCTCCGCCCTTGTACAACATCCTTCTTAGACTTGGAAACAACTCAAAAACAACAATAAAAACTTTTTTTCCAAAATAAATATCCTCTCTTAGTTCCTAGGGTGTGACAGTCCGGTACTGCGATGGATAGATTCTTAGATTCTTATCGTTCACAAAAAGAACAAAAAGTCTCTGTTCGGGGATTCTATATCCAACTGGCTGAGCAGAGCTTAGTTGAGCTGGCATACTTGAGTTGGGCTTTTGAACTGGGCGTAGGACGTGGACTGGGACTGGCGGATGCAGGAACAACTAATATGCGCTGCGGCGGCGTACAAGTTTTTCCTTGTGAGGAGTACGGCCCTTCTGGGGTTGGGAGAGTCGGATGGTCGGAGTGAGGGTTTGACGAATCGTGAGAATTTTTCACGCCACCAATTGAAAAATCAGGCTGACGTCACCTCCTCTGGGACTGGGGGAGATGGGGACTCTCATACATCTCGATCAGGATCCCTCACCTGCCGAACGGACACAACAGACCTTACGAAACACACAATGGAGCCCAAGGAGGATAAACCGTCAGTCGCACAAATGCGATCGCTACTGAATCAGACAACGCGGATCAAGATTACTGATGGACGACTGTTTATCGGCCAGTTTATGTGTATCGACCACTCCAAGAACATTATCCTCTCCGCAGCATACGAATACCGGACAACAGCAAAGGCCAATAACAACAACAACAATAATACCTCCGACTGTACCGACGCTGAATCTGATATCAAGAGCAGTAGTACATCTGGCGCAGGAGAAGATATCCCATTGAAGACGCTGTCTATCAACGCTCAGCATGATACAGTCTTGACCACCGGACAAAGTCGAAAGAAGGAGGAAGAAGGCAAGTCATTTGCAACTCTGCTGTTACCTCGATTTTGAGGATGCCCTTTCTTCTTTTTTATCGTGCCTACTGATGAATTAACGCCGACATACTGAATTGACGCGAATGGTTTAGCAAAGAGATTTGTTGGACTGGTCATGATCCCAGGACACCACATCGTGAAGGCAGACATTGACTGCAGTCATTTACGAGGAGCTGATTCAAGGATAAAGGCGCCAACGAAGATCTACGGACTCGACTACTTGCGAGGATAGGCAGACAAGAACAAAACACAGCATCTAGATATTACGTCCTCATCCACCTGTAACATTTCCCAATCCACTCATTGTACAATAACACTCACGTTCAACCACTAAACGCGAAGCTTGGAACAGGCAATGGACAAAAATGACAAAAAGTATGAATGGTTCTATTGTTTAAAAACATGAGGATCGGATACAGATAAAAGCGAAAATGATGAAAGCAAGGGAAAGAGGAAGAGATAATAAAGGGCGCTTACGATGCTTAATGCAACAATAAACACAACAGTTTTATGCGGTCTTGTTGGCGACGGGACGGTTCCACTCCTTGGGGAAACGGACCTTGGGCTTGATGCTCCTGGCAGCATGGCGCAAGTCGAGGGGCACATCGCTCACAGTCTCGGGCTCCTTCTTGGCCTCGTTGATCAGCTTGTCAAGGGTATCGGACAACCACTTGAAGTTTTGGGAGCGATCTTGGAACTTTTCGCAGCTCATCTTGATCTCGTTGTTGACGGGGTTGTAGCGGGATCCGACCAGGAGTAAGAACTTATGCAATTCGACGTTGGTGAGCGGTAATGATTTGGTGTCGACCGTCATGACCACCTTGGGTCCTGCTGGGTGGTTCGACTCTCCGAGGTATGTCGTCGTGCGGAAGCGGAGGATCTGGGTGTTGGTAGGTGCCTGGAATGGCTTCACAAATGCTGCACATGCCACATAACAGCGAAAACGGTATCATATTAGTCACTTAGATCCGGTTTGTATCCATTTGGTCCATGGTGTGTGCTAGGGTTGCATGAGCTCCTGAAGTGATGAAAACTTGATTCCTATGCCTTGTTGTTGCAACTGTTATCTTACCCTTCAACTTGGGGAGTTCATACTTGGTGATGCGGAGGTACTTTCTGACCTCACGCTGAGCCTCCATCCTGTCGTAACCAATCTATTCATATAGTACATGCCGTTCCGCGATGATGAAAAAGAATAAGGTGACCATTTTTCCTGTCAGTATGCGCTCTGAAAGTCCTTGAAAGTCAACCTTCTTCCTGCTAGTATCCAACAGGAAAATAACGAATTTCTTCCCGAATCAGAGGAGCAGAGAAATAAAGTACCGTGGAAGAGTCGTCGAACTGAAAGTCCTCGAGGTTGGTGATATCCATCATGTCCCTGGAGTTTCCGCTGCTCCGGATAGCGCCAAAGGCCTTGGAACGGGCTCTGTCGTTCGAGATGGCCGAGGCCGACAAGGCTCGGACGGCAGTCTGCTTTTGGGCCGAGACGGCCATGCTGAAGGTTGTCCTTGAGATTGAGCGCAACATGGCTTATTATTACTGTGTTGGTGATACTATTCGGGGTTGGAGTTGCTCTTCCGTCGTGTCCGTATTATTCGCTGTTGTTACTGGAAATGTCTCCTGTAGTAGAATCGAGTCGTGTTGTGAAGCGAGAGATGTCGAATGCCTGTCTGTGAGTTGATGCAGCTGCCTAGTTTATGAGCTCTGGTCTCCTTGCGAGTGTTGTCTTCGCATGTCCGGGAGGCATGGCGGGTGGCTTGGACAAGGGTGTTCATTTATTTTGATCCTCGATCTGTTAAGGGCTACTCGATATCTTGCGATCAGTTCGTTTGTTGGTTGCCATCAGAACGAACTGAGCGCTGTGGGGTTAAGATGCATGTGTGCACACAGATCCTATCCCAATTGTAGAGTATGTCCACCAACCATTTGCTAGAGCTGCCTTACACTCATCAAGTAGACAAACCACAAGAGGTACAGACAAGACGAGGGAAAGATAAATGACCCAAAAGGTGTGCAAGGGTGTGTCCCTCGGCGAGGATGCTTAAAGGAGTAGGTGTGTCACCCATGGACGGAGCAAATAGCCCTGCATGGAGTTGTCTCGGCTTTTCTCTTTGAATGCGAATGACCTCGTTTTCCTTTTTGTCCACTGCCGAATTTCTGGGAATGAAAAACATAGCCAGCGACCATGGGATACGAGTCGCAGTGTTCTGTTTCTCCTGACCCATTTCTTTTGCTTTTTGCTCTTACTTTTCCTTTTCGTTGCAGCTGTCGGTACAAGTGTGCGATGATGGTGGCCTCCATCCCCTTTCTTGAGTTGTAGAAGAGGCCTAAAGGAGACTTTGAGACGTCGATGCTCGTCCCCCTATGGCTTGGAGTTGCAGTCATGCGTATCTTTCTCGTTAGATAGCGGCGGATCATGAATTCACCAATGGGCCACGACCGGTGCTCTTAAAGGCCAGGTTCACTGTCTCTTACACATCCGGATAGCGATCTCTTGTCCCTGTGTTGGCTATCTACCTCACATGTTGTGACTTGACACCGTCGGACCTTTCTCATTCATAAAAGATACCTTTTTTCCACTTGATCTCCCTTCTTCTTTTTATCTCCTTCATCCACATCCTTCTTCTTCCACAAGAACAGCCAACAACACCACCGCTCCTTTTGCCCCTTCATCCCATCCAACCAAACCACTCTTACAATCATGGGTCTTCTCGATATCGTCCCCGCTGGTGTCATCACTGGTGACAACCTCCGCAAGCTCTACGCCTATGCCTCTAAGCACGCCTTCGCCATCCCCGCCATCAACTGCACTTCCTCCTCCACCATTAACGCCGCTCTTGGTAATTATATATTTTTTTCTTCTTTCTTTTGTTGATCGTCATCACCATCATTGAGAGGCGCGCATTTCACCACTTGTCATTCAATCGCTCAATTTTACAAGGACTAACACGCATCTCTCCTTATCCTTATCCTTCAAATAGAGGCTGCCCGTGACAACAAGTCGCCCATCATTATCCAGTTCTCCAACGGTGGCGCTGCCTTCTACGCCGGAAAGGGTATTTCCAACAAGGGCGAGGCTGCCTCAATTCTCGGTGCCGTCGCTGGTGCCCACCACGTCCGTCAGGTCGCCAAGTCCTATGGCATCCCCGTTATTCTGCACTCGGACCACTGCGCCAAGAAGCTCCTCCCCTGGTTCGACGGCATGTTGGCAGCCGATGAGGAGTACTTTGCCAAGCACGGCGAGCCCCTCTTCTCGTCCCACATGCTTGATCTCTCTGAGGATTCCAAGGAGGAGAACATCGAGATCTGCGTCAAGTATCTTGAGCGCATGGCCAAGATCAACTGCCACCTCGAGATGGAGATCGGTATCACCGGAGGCGAGGAGGATGGTGTCGACAACTCTGAGGTCGACAACGCTTCGCTCTACACCCAGCCCCAGGACATTCTCGATATCTACAACGCCTTTTCCAAGATCACCGACCTCTTCTCGATTGCCGCTGCTTTTGGTAACGTCCACGGTGTCTATGCCCCCGGTAACGTCAAGCTCCACCCCGAGCTTCTCGGAAAGCACCAGGAGTTTGTCAAGAAGGAACTCGGTCTCGAGTCTGACAAGCCCGTCTGGTTCGTATTCCACGGAGGCTCTGGTTCGACTGAGCAGGACATTGCTACCGCTGTCAACTTTGGTGTTGTCAAGATGAACGTTGATACTGGTACGTTTCAGGATCTCTCAGAATATTTTTTTTATTGTTTGTTTATGAGACTTGTCTTTTTGGAGGAGGATCATTGTTCGATTCAATTGTGTGTCCGCGTATCGGATGGGTTCAATCCCCAACCACTTTTTTATTTTCATTACCGCGATTGTCTCAATATCTCTCCTTTGTCAGAGATAAGAAAAAAAAAAGGACGCGATACGCCAATCTTATCGTCATCACACCCTCGACGCGTCAATGGCTCACAAAAAAGAAACACTAAAGACAAAAACAAACTTTATTAACCGTCCTTTATCTCTCTTCTCCACACCTCTGACCCCTCTTATAGATACTCAGTGGGCTTACTGGGCCGGTATCCGCAACTTCTACGAGGCCAAGAAGGTAAATCATCAACCCTTCTCTCTTTATTTTCCGAACCAGTCACTTCTCTTCGGTCATAATCTCTTTTTGGATTTTGCGCTCTGTGCTCTTTGGCAACACGAACACCTGTACACAATGAGCAAGGACATATGCAGCTCATCGTCACAGCACATACAGTGTCCTTTACCCACTCCCATCTATCCATATCCATCCTTTCTTTGCATGCATGATATTCGAACCTTTCTTTCCTAACCCATACCCACTTTTCGTCCTTTTCCAAAAAAAATAGGGATACCTCCAGGGACAGGTCGGAAACCCAGATGGTGCCAACAAGCCCAACAAGAAGTTCTACGACCCCCGTGTCTGGGTCCGCGAGGCCGAGAAGACCATGGTCGACCGTGTCCAGCAGGCTTGCAAGGATCTCGGCAACGTCAACGTTCTGTAAATATTATTTTCTCCTCCTTTCTTTATCCACCCAAAATCTCTCTTATCCCTTTCTCCAAGTGTGAAGAAGAGTGAGCAGGATATATTCATTACCCTCCCTTCAATGGGCCTGTTATGTCAAATAGTTTAGCGTCATTACTTAATTAAAACGTCCTTTTGAACCCATGAATATGTCTGTGCCTACGAAAAAGAAGATGGAGAGAGAAGGGTGTGTGCCAAGGAAGGACACTTCAATTGGGCCGCAGTGCCCTTGCCTTCCCCATCCATTTCACCAGTGGACTCAACAAATCACAAATGCAATTGAGTTCATTTCAATCCCCGAAAAGAAAGTGTCAGCATGACTTGTCTGAATCCACAGAGAAAAGATAAAAGGAGAGCGGCGTTGCAAGCCAGTAAAAAAGTGAGGAGACTTGTATGCGAGTAAAAGAGTGAAGGAGATTTGTCTGTGATCGAGAGTGGGAACAAGGATAGAAAGAGCGGGAAGAGTATTGCATTGTACAAGTGCATTGATGCTAGAAATGGAGAGAGAACGATCGATCCTCTGGCAGGAGGATGATGATGTCGGTTGTTTTTTTTTGTTTGCCAAGGGGGTAACAAAAGTGCTCTCGAACGATGGGCTGTATATACTGTACCGGTTCATGCACGTAGACGTCTATTTACTCCAATGCCCACAGGTCCAAAATCCAAAAGAAAGGTCAAGCTGTTGGCAAGAATAGCCTTTTGGAGTAGCCGAGGTGAAGAACCAACGAAGAAAAAACGAATCCAGTGTGGAGGCACGGATGAGAATTGGAGGGAAAGGGGAAACGGTGCGCCTCCTTCCAAGCCTCTAAACAGGGGTCATCAAAGATGTGATTGGCTGATATTTCCATTTGCTGAACGTTCTTTTTTATGTTCAGGCATCAAGCATCATCATCATCATCATCAGCATCATATCAGTTGACGAACATCACACAGGAAATCATCATCAGTGTCGTCACAGAGAGTGAGAGAGGGTATGAACTCAAATTACACGAATTGGCGGCTCACGTTGATTCATCATCGCACATACAGCAGTCCATGCAAACACTCACACACAATTCAACATAGAGGACGAGAAGAGAGAGAGAGGCATTAGGAAGTGAGAGGAGGGAGAGAGTGAATTGAGCAAGAGTGCAAGAGAGAAAGACGTACGGCCCTAGTCAGTGAGCCGCAGGCGTCTAGGGTTCGATAAGACAACAAAGAATGTAAGCAAAAGGCGAGAGAGAGAGAGAGAGAGAAAAAAGATGAGCAAAAGACGAGAGCAAACAATGATGACCGTTTGTAATAAGAATAATAGGGGTGGCGCACAAGAGGGCATGTAATGGTTGGTTGAACAGTGTTGAAGGAGGGGGGATGGAGCAATTAAGCCAAGGGCTATTATTAAGACATAGCGAGCAGAAAGAGAGGAAAGTGAGAGCAAAAATGCAAGCCTTGGACCGATCAACAGGAAGAGGGAGGAGGGAAAGAGAGGAAGAATGAATGAATCAAATGTGGTTTAGCGCGCATCCTCCGCGCATACATATTTCACCCGATACTCTTTTGACTTGGCTATAGCTCGGCAACAAACAGCCCGCCACCTTTTTTCCAATAAATAGGGTCTGACTCTTCTTTCTCTCTCCCCATCATCATCATCATCTCTTCTCACTTCTTCACTCCATCCCTTCGCTCATTCCCCATCCCTCTTCACTTGTCCTCTCTCCCTTCTCTCACTCTCCCCACTCATACCCCACGCTTGTAAAAAACTCACTCACGCTCCCTTCCCCTTCCTTTAGCAAACCTTGCTTACTCTCCTTTGCTCACTTTCATATCTTCCTCGCTGTACACTCTCTTTTCCCCACCTTCAATTGAACGCCTTGTTGATCACCATGGCTCAAGGTACGTTTTTTATCTTCTTTTCACTCCCTGTTCTGTGCTGCTTTCAATCCCTTGTTGCGTTTCTTCTAGATCACGACAGCTAATCCACCGATTATTCTCCCTATTCTCCACTCAATTCCATGACACAGTCCTCCATCTCGAACAGTTCCGCCTCAGCCAGGAAGCTGCCAAGTGCTTTGATGATGATCTCGACTTTTGCCCGAGTCTGACCGCCAAAGAGGTACAGAGCACCCCTTCCCTTTTCTTTCCTTACCGTTCTCTTTTCTCTTTTCTCTTTTCCCTCGTTTTCTCTCATTCTATCTTGCATTGTCTATTTCAATTGTCCTTCTTTGAGACACCATGGGTTTCAGAGGCACATCGAGTATTGTACCGACGCAAAGCAATGCTTTCTTTTCCCGTACTATCATCGTGCGCAGACAAGTGAACAGATAGTCCATTCCTTCGAGGCGGGTCATTTCATTTTCACAACGATGCCTTCGACATCCACATACACTCAACACGACAACGCAAGACCATGCACATGCACGCTTGGGTCTCTCTTTTTTTTCTGTCTGTCTCTGAAATTGGGTTGGGAAATGATGCTGTTTGTTTAAGAAGTGGTTGGGGTTCAACGAGATTGAGGGCAAGAGTGTCAACAAACAAACAAACTAACAGCAGCACAACACAAACAAACGGACAAGCTGAACCAACCAAATCAACCAGGACATCGACATTATACTGGACCAACAACAAGAATCAGTCGGAGGAATGACAAAAATAAAAACATAGTGCCACGCGGAAGGGTCAGCCCACACCAGGGGCAGTGGCAGGGCACACATACACACATACACACACACACACACATACACACATACATACACAAATGAGGTGGATGTGTGTGTGGTGGGTGATGGTGTCAAATCGAACTCTCTCTCCTCTTGTGTTTTTTCATCGGCGTGGTTTTGCAATTGCAATTGCCCTTGGGCGTTTTCATTCATACAAAACATATCACTAGTTAATTACATATGCATTTCTACCATTCAACTCGTATCTAACCCATTCGCACCATTGACATTAAAATAGCTCTCTGAGATTATTCTAGCTTCAATTCTCGCTCAAAAGGAGAACCAAGCCAAACAGCAGCAGCGCGGCGGCTCCTCACCCGTGTCGCCCACCACTCCCGCAACCACCACCATCCCTGCCTCGCGTGCCATCACCATTGTCGACCCTAACAGCCGTGCGCCTCTTTACATCGCGCCCAAGACTCCTGCTGCCATTGGCAACAACAACGGTCGCCAGGGAGGCCGCTACTCGGGCTCGACCACGCCTGCCACAGGTGGACTGATGGGCCCCTCGGAGTCGTACTTTAACTTTATGCCCTCGATGGGCCGACAGCAGCAACAGCAGCAGCAGGTCTACAACAACATGTACGGATCGCATGCCTATGCCTTCTCGGGCCAGCACCAGCAGCACCATCAGCAAGCGTACTCGATGGGCATGACCAGCCCTACGATGTCGTCGTACTCTCCTCCTCGCATGGCCTCCAGGATCCCCATTGTCAACCCCGACAACGGCTCCATTGTCTCTCTTCCCGAGACTCCTTCCTGGAACCAGCAGCACCACTTTGTCGCTGTGCGATAAATATCATTGCTGGAGCTCATTATTCACTTTTCTTTTGTTTTCTTCCGCATCCATTTGTAAACATATCCCACTACCACAGTCCTACTTGCAAACAACACTCCACCTTCTACATAATTGCCTTTTTTCTTGTTTATCCATTGTTACATAGTACACACACCTACACACACACTCCTCTTTCATTGATACATTATGTTTCCTGTGTCTTTGTTCATGACTCCACCTTCTCTTTCCTTTTCTTCCTTTTTTCCCTTTTTTCTGTAGTACCCCCCTCCCCCCCTGTTAAATATTCTTATAGCTATACCCTCCTTCTCTCACCCAAAAAGAATTGTTCATTATCTTGTAACTAAACGCCTATAAAAGCAAAACTATACACCTCAACAAACAACTTGAGGAAGTTATTCGCGCACGTCTATGAGCGAACGTCTTTGCCATGTTGGTGCTGATCTTTTTTGGTTTATTAGTAAGGGGGTAGTAGGACCCTTCGATGACAATTGGCGAAGCCATTTCGGCAGACTGATTTGGTGGCTTTCTAGTTTTGCAGCTGAGAAATCACATAGACTCCACGGCTCACTCCTTTCTCCTTTCTCCTTTCATTCTTCTCATCAACTACAAAACTAACAACTCCCAACAACCGAGGACATTCATATTCACCCACGCTAAAACACTCACACAGAACAAGACAGGAATAGCACACCTCAACCCACTACACAGTCTACACCTTCACTCACTGAATCACAGTAAACAAAATGTCCGTTGGAGCAGTTGTCCCATTCATCAACGACTTTTTGGTCATCAAAGGAGATCCCGCCATCACCATTGGTGCACCCGTCCCCGAAGGACGCACCAAAGTCGTCGTCCTTGAGTTCTGGGCCACGTATGTTTCAATTGGACTCGGCTACTATTTTTCATGCTTGTGTGGCGTTGCTTTGATATCACATTTACTCACATACCTATCGTCTCTCTTCAAATTGCGAAATAGTTGGTGTGGACCATGTCTTCAGAGGTAACAAATGGGAACTCATACACGCGACAGGAGTTGCAGACATAATACCCAGTACGAAAGAGACTTGTTCGTGTCTGACTACGGTTCATTTTCCTCCTTTGCACCGTTTAGCATCCCTCACCTCTCGGAGCTGCAGCGCAAGTTCAAGGATGTGGACGTAACCATTATCGGCGCCACCAATGAGCAGGATGAAGGCGTAAGCACGCTTATTACACAGTTGTGGTTTGCGGAGATAGCGAAGGAAACATGATTGAAACGGATAGAAAGGAACTCACTCGAACGCGCTCTTGTTTGTCATCGATATAGAAAATTCGCGACTTTGTCAAGGAAAAGGACATGGACTACACAGTTGTTATCGACAAGGCCCAGACGCTCAATGCCAGTACGTACCATCATCGATGTTTCATCTATATGTGTTGCTTGAAAGTACGAACTAATGGAGCATGGATAAGCATGATCCTTCTCTGACATTCGATCGCATCTTCTTACTCCATTCAAAATGGTAGAGGTGTTTAAGCCAAGCGGTGCGCACGGAATCCCATTCGCAGCAGTGATTGTGAACAACAAGATTGAGTTCTCAGGACACCCCATGGATCCCCAGTTTGAAAAGACATTGAATGAGGCAGCAGCCAAGGCAACATCAACTCGCAAGGAACCTGTTGCGTTGCCCTTGATCACACAGACGTATGAGGAGTTGATGCAGATGCGCCCCAAGGAGTTGCGACAGATTCTGGATGACCGCGGTATCCGCACTGTCGGTTGCTCAGAGAAGGGCGACTTTGCCAAGCTGATTCTCGACACCTGCGTCAAGACCCAGTACTACAAGCAAGAATAGGCGTTCTGTTTCAAATAAATAGGCCCGACATTCAATTTTTACCATTTTCCTCTTTCTTCCTCTCACTTCCTCAACGACACACACACTCTCTCACAAAACGTAACATACTCAGAACTTCAACACACAACTTCACACACATATAATCAAGACCCCACCCTTCCTCTCAAACATGAACACCGGATCGGAGAACGCCAGATCGGAGAACACGCAGGCCAAAGCTACAGCAAACGCCGGCGACACCACCAACGCAACCTCGACCTCGGCTCATGCTCCGCCGTCTACCCACCACACACGCGAGGAACTTATGCACATGCATGCCAAGGACCTCCTCCAGATGCTAGACGAGCGCCACATCAACCACCTCGCTGTCGTCGAGAAGCCCGAGCTGGTCGATTTGATTCTTGAGCAACGCTCCCACTGATCTCTTGTTTCTCTCTGCCACCTTGTTTTTTCGATTCTTGCAGTGGTCAGTTAGCCAGATGTCATTTGATCAGAACCTTGTGCGATTTGCACGCCTTTGAATAAAATATCACTTTGAAGTCATGACCGAACCAATAGGCCAAAGGTTTGACTAGGTATTTTAGTGCAGCTATGAGATGGTCACGACGTAAGAGTTTTAAAACGAGTGTCTGTGCGTCTGTGTCCAGCAAAGATATGAAACAGAGCGGGTTGGTGCAAGTGGAGGAACATAAGAAAACAATGATGTAAGAAACCATGCATGCAAAAAAAAAAAAAAAAAAAATGGAACCAAGTAGGACCACGAAGAGCCAAGCCTCAGAAAAAAGAGATGCTTTAGATTGCAGGCCGGTGCTCGGGATGATCAGAAGCAGCAGCGCTCTTGGTCTTGGGGGGACAGGTGCGAGGTCCATTGAATCCACAATCCTTCTGGTGAGCCTTGGCCTCATTACCACTAACGCTTCCTCCCTGATCCTTCTTCAGACCTTGCTGCTGCTTCATGCGAGTCAGGACATCCTGAGCGGTGTCGAGAATCAGGCGTACATGCTGGCTGCAAGTCATAGGCTGCTGAATAACCTGCTGGCCACTCTGTTGAGCTTGACCGGCAGCAGAGACCTGGTGTTCGGGCTATACTGATGAGCCACCTTGGTTGCCGAGCAAGGGCTCATCTGCGTGGAGTGCAGCAAAGGAGCTATTGACGACAGACAGCACAGACAGCGTTGGACGTGTGAGAAAAGAAGAGCTCTTGGGTCCATGAGTCGACGATGATAGGCAAGTGACACAAGTGATAAAAGTGTCGCGGTCGTGGTGATGGTGACGAGTCACATACCGAGAGCGGCAGTGGATCAAACGGTGATCCGACAAGGCCCCAAGAGGCCAAAGGCCGCGGGATTCATCATATCCCGCTGTTTTGTTTTTGGCGAACAAAGTGAGCACATGGTTGGAGAGTCAGCTGTAACAAGTAAAGTACACAAGTGTTGACGAGAAAGCAAGCATTAATGTACTAGCTCATGACAAACAGGAAAAACGAGTACCCAGGTTGGTGGCATCATTGGCTCGTCGGGCGCGGTTGTCGGGCCGGCCTGAGCGATGCCTCGGGTGAGGTTGGCAAGGTTCTCACGGTCCTGCTTGACGAGGCTGTTTGGTGGATCACACATGTAAAGTCTAGGTGAGGATCGTTTCACTTTGTTACGTATGTTGTCAATTGTTCCAAACGAGCAAGTGGAGTAAGAACTTTATGTTTGATTGCGTGTGCACGGACAAAAAGAACGTGTTTGTAGTGCTTACATGAAGAGATCGTTGGCCATGGTGTTTTTGCTTTTCTTTTGTTGGCTTGTTGGTGAGTAGGTTTTGTGTGTGAGAGTGAGTGTGTGTGTGTGTGAGCAAAGAGAGAGGATTGTTGTTTATGTTTGCGTGTGAGGAGTGGGGTGTGGGGAAGGAAGGAAGGATGAGAGAAGAGAAGGAGAGAGAGACGAAGGCCGAAGAAGTTAAAAAAGAACGTACGCGTGTCGCTTTGGTCACCAAAGCAACGCGTCCATCTTCAGTCTCAAGAGAGAGGTAACTTGGTAAGCTGCACCTCCTTGTAGAAAAATGAAATCTAATTTTCCATGGGGGATGGGTTTAATTTTAGCATTTCTCATTAAACACATCCATCATCTCTTTCTTTGTCTCTCCCTCTCTCCTCTATCTCATTGATTCTCCCTCTTCTTCCAACCTTTGCCGCCCTCTCCTTTACCTTGTCCTTCTCTTCTCCCCTTCTCTCTCTTTCTCTCTGTTCTCATCCCTTCTTCTTTTCATTCCTTCATTCCATCATTCCATCATTCCATCATTCCATCATCCACTTTTCTCTCATCTCTCTTCTCTCCTCATCTCACTTTACCCCCTCTTCCTTCCCCGAGCACACTCCCTCCTTTTCATTCTTGGTTCAACTCTATTTCCTTTAATTCAGGAACACACACACCCTTCCTTTTCAAAGCGATTACCATGGCATCTCACTCTTCCTATCGCCACTCTGTGCTTGATCCTGCCCTCGAGGGAATCCGTCGATATAGGTCTCCTTCTTCCAGTCGTGCCATCGCAACCTCAGTCCCCTACGTCCCTAGTCCTCTGTCCCCTCCTCCTCCAACTCCTTTATCCGGTACTGCCACGTCCTCAGCACTGACCTCGCCCCAGGCAGACTACCCATCACGGCTACTCCCTCCTCCAAGGAGTTCCACTCCCTTGCCCATGCCCCCAAAGACCCCACCCCCCTTTGCCAAATCGTCGACATCATCTTCATCCTCGATGGCCTCTGGATTAGTCTCCTTACCGATTACTATGCCCCCTACATCCCCTCCCCCAACGCCCCGGCCCAAGGACAGGAAGCGATCCACGTCCAGCTCAGTCATGATCCAGCAGGGTAATCAACCCTTTGCTCCAACACCTCCGACTCCGACCCCTCCCTCAAGACCCCCTCCTCATTCCCGCACTACTGTTCTTCCCACAGGCATGGTCCAAGAGTTGGGACATTATCAGGACTATCGCGAGCAACCACAACAGCAACACAGAGAGACAGACCAGGGCTTGGACAGTCGCAGGACCACCCAGTATTACTCGGACGAGAGCTCATACAACAGACAAATGGAGCAGGAGATGCACGAGTCGCAGCGAGAGCAAAATGAGCGGGTGTCTCGATTGATGGGTCAGCGCATGCTTCAAGGATGGACCATGCTCCAGGACACCTGTCCCAACCTTTCCTGCAATGGGGTAAGTTTCTTTCGCAATGTATCTCTTAATTTTTGTTTGTTTGCTTTGTATGGTTTTTTCTTTCATTATCCATTGTGGTCGTTGGGTGTGCATTTTTTTTATTTTTTTCATTTTTCATTTTTCATTTGTGTATTTATAATTGTAATTGGGATGAACAATGGACGCAGAGAAGGGAGGGAGGTAATAGGGACCATGCTTTTTTCTTTTTCTCTTTCTTTTCTTACCTTCGTCCCTTCTTTCCTATTTACCAGAGGTAGAAAGTCAGGCGCATTACGCTGCATGCATTACCTTGATTGCTCTCTTTTCCTCTCCATTTTCTCTTTGTACCCCAGTCCATTTTCTTTTTATCGCCATGGAAAGGGCAGTTGCGTTTTTCCTTGTCAATAATCGGTCGATTCGATTATCTATTTTCTTGTGTTCATCCCAATCGACAAAGGCCATGAAAAAAACTTTTCATCTGAGCGTTTATTATTCTTAACCTTCGTGCACCCGGCGCGACCGCATGAAATGAGAGCGTTCTTCTTTCTCCTCTGTTGTTGACAGCGAGAACAGACAGAGAGACGGATGCGACATCAGGTGCAGCGGCAAGCCAACTTTTTTTTTTTTTTTCTTATTCAAACTCACATGCAATAATAAGCAATGCTCCAAAACAACAAGAAAAGAAAACAAACATTCAGCATACTCAACGATTGTGTTTTTTATTGCTCTTTCTCAATCCTTGTTTTGTCATCCAGGTGCCTTTGATGAGGAGCCGTGAAAAGAAGGAAATATGCGTCTCCTGCGGAAAGGACCCTCGTACAGCTGTCAACGGAGAGCCTGGAAAGGGACAAGGGCAGGGACAGGGACATGAACAAGGGCAGGGACAAGGGCACAGTCGCGGACAAGGACAAGGCCCAGCCTCATCGATCGCTTATCCTACGTCCCCCACTTCAATAGCCAGCCCACGAGCGTCTGTGATGATGAGCCCTCCATTGAGTGCATCCTCGCCGCCGCAATACAAAACCACATCGCCTCGCACCCCACGCGATCTGAATGGACGAGTCTCGAGCTCGATTGTCCTTCCTCCACCTCAGAGGGCCAGCCGGCATTTGAGCAGCGATTTGGATGTAAGTTGAAGACAATATAATCGAATTACAATGATGATGATGATGATGGGATCGGTGTTCAGTGAGTGAGAAAGAGAGGATGGGTCGGGAAAGAGTATTCATACTCAGGTACTATTGTGCATGGTTGTCCTTTTCTTAGATGACACAGACGTAGACGCAGACGTAGTCGAAATTAATATTATTTTCCTTCCTCTCTCTGTCGATCCTTTGTGATACTGTAGAAACTGGCCTCGGAGGATGAGGAGACGAACAGCCATATCCAATTGATCGGACATGTTAACGAGTTCAGTTCCAGGTCCCTGCCCCCTGTGCCCCCCGTCCCTGCCATTCACTCCAACCATTCCAACCACTCGACGCCATCGCGCCCAGTCTCGACCTATTCCAATTCCTCAGGATACAGTCCATCGGAGAAGGAACGGTCATCATCGTCCCGCACACACAATCAGCACTCTTCTCACCAGCATTATCAGCATCATATCGGACATTCATCTATCCTACCAGCACCTCCAGCCCCAACACCCTTGTCGCCAGAGGAGGAGGCAGTTGTCCATGCGACACACAAGACGATCTCTGTCCTCCTGGTCAAGCTGGAGATGTATCGGTCTGCATTCGAGGTGTCAGATAATCCTAAGGAAAGCCAGGCGTTGGTCAATCATATCCGGGGCACCATGGAGTGTCTTAAGGCCTGTCGCCAAGTTCTGTGACCCCCCAAGTTCTTTTTAGTTTATTTACTGTCGATTGTGTTGGTCAATGAACTCTTTCGAGATCTCTTATTATTGTACCGGTTTCTTGACCATTGATTGACCTGTGTAGTGTATTTTGTCTGTGGTCCCAGACCCCTCAGAATGATTCAGATTGCAAGTGCTTTATTCTTTATCAAAATGCAATCTCCGCATTATCAGTTAATATCGAGCAATTGAGTCTTTTCTTTGGTTGTTGGCAATCGTTTTTTATTTTGGATCAACATCGCTGAGACCTTTTTTTTCTTCTAATCTTGCGCAAAACAAATATTTGTTACCTGAGAGAAGAAAGAGAGACAAGAAAGAAAGAGAAGGATGTGTCAATTGCATTGTTCATTTCCCTTGTACATTTTTGATTCTTTGCTTCCAGTTGTTCACCAGTGACAACAAAAAGAGTCGACACAGAGTGAGATCTGTAGAGATGGGCCTCAGAGGTAAATTGTGTATGTGATTGTTTTGTCATCCTTCTTCAACATTGAAGTGAGAATTGCAGAATCGCGTATCATCAACGGCAGTATGTGTTTGTTTGGATAAAGGGGGGAAAAGTAGGGAGATGGGATCGAGGAGTGTTCTCTGTTACCTTTTTTACACCTTGAAAGCCGCGTCCAGTTCGAGTCTCAATACAAGTCTGCAGGATGAGAGTGAGAGTAAGAGGACTGTATAGATCGGTTAGATATATTGCAGCAGTTGGGTTATCCATTCCCATGTCGTCAACAAAAAAAAGGAGACAGGGATAATAGAGTTGCTTCAGATCAAGGAAGGCACGATGGTTTAATCAACAGTGTAGTTTAGACGCGGAATATCGATACATCATAAGCAAATCAAGAAGTGTCTTTCTTCAAGGTGAATGGTGGACGTGTTTTTCATTTTTTCTCCTCTTGCGAGATTCAACATACCATAAGAGAGATGGAGCGTTGACGGATGATCGAGGAAGTAGGGAGAAGGGAGGGATGGTTGAGAGATCAGTGATCAAGAAAATTTTGTATGTGGGATTGATTAATCAACGCGAAGCTGGTGCGATCAGATATAGTGCTTACACGTGACGAATCAACATATACTAATTGACCAATCGGCGCAAGGGGTTGAAATGTCCCTGCTCGCACTTGGGCAGAGTGTGTTGGCCGTGGATGGCTGGCTGGCAGGTTCAGGCTGGGCCAAACAGGTGTATTGTTGTCCTTTGGTTTGAGTGCGTCTGTCTCTTTCTTGCGCTCTCTTTCATCTCTTTCTCTTACTCTTCTTCATCCGTTTCTTCATCTCACCCTCTTCTTCCGTCCTCCCCCCCTCCCCCCCCCCCCCCTTCTCTCTCTCCACTTCCTTCCTTCCTCTCTTCTACAAAAAAGTCTCCTTTTTATCTTTTAAAAGGGCACTCGTCATCTGCCTGATCAACTCCTCCACACTACTCCCTCAACCGACACTCCAACTATTCAACACCGTACCCCTCATAACATATTCAACAACACTACACACTCAAGCATACATACCATGGATAACTTTATCGAGAATGTGTCCGGCTACTCCATGTGGGATATCCGCAATGCCATCGACAAAGTGTACGTATCAATTAACTCTTTTAAAGAACACACACTTGCACACTCGTGGTAATTTCTTCTAACTATCATTCAAATTGGTGATGCCCACCCCCTGTATGTACGTATAGGACGGCAAAGGTGATGAACCTGACAGAGATGGAGCAAAAGGTCAGGGAGGCAACCAGCAACGACCCCTGGGGTGCATCCGGAACCCTCAAGCAGGAACTCGCCCAGGCCACCCACAACTTGTACGTACTCGCAGGATGAATCAACATCATGCGGACATGTATGACAACGCGACATTGCCACTTTGCTTCGCTTGATTGGCCTTCTATTTTTGTCGCCATGGCTTGGTGTAATGGGACAAGCGCACTTACACGAAACATCTTCTCGCCTCTTAGCCAATACTTCAACGAGATCATGCCTGCCATCTTCAAGCGGTTCGCAGAGAAGGAACCCAGGGAATGGCGTCAAATCTACAAGGTACACTCAACAACAGCGGTTACTACAACTACTGTGAGTCGTTCATCAATTGAAGATTGAAGATATTAACCAATGTGCCCTTGCATTTTGCATTTGAAATAGGCTTTGGTGCTTCTGGAGTACCTTGTCACGCATGGTTCAGAGCGCGTGGTTGACGAGGCAAGAGGACATATCTCGACGATCAAGGTCCTTCGCAGCTTCCAGTACGTCGATGACAACGGCAAGGACGAAGGCATCAATGGTACGTTTAACCTCTTCTCACTTGTTTTCAATGTGGGAATTGTCTCTTGGGAATGAGAATATGTAACAAGAGGAATAAGAAAACGAAACACAATGGGGACCTTGTGCTTCAATGGATCAAAGGCAACTAGAGGAGCAAGAAAGCGGAATGCGACTCAAGGCGATCGTGTATTGAAATGGATCTTACGCAACAAACAGAAAACGGAACGCAACTTAAAGCGATCGTGTATAGACATGGGTCATGAACAAAACGAAACGCAGGCAAATATAATTTTCTAACTGACTTAGCTCTTCCCCCCTCTCCCCTGCGGACTTTTATTCAATTGCATACATCATCTGCTAATTATAGTCCGCAACCGCGCCAAGGAGTTTGCGGATATGCTGAGCAGCGTGGATCGCATCAAGGAGGAGCGCAAAAAGGCGAAGACCAACCGCAACAAGTTTGTTGGCTCTGAGGGTGGTGGATTCGCTGGCACTGGCTCCAAGTATGGCGGTTTCGGAAGCGACAGCTACCATGAGGGTGAGTCAACAACAGAGGCTCTCTGTTACATCGAATGCGCGCCCGACTGACCTGAAACACAACATGGGAGACTAATGCCATTTTGTGGCCTTCCCTCAATTTCATAGGCGGAGGAGGTGGTGGAGGATATGGTGGCAGCACAGGATCAGGAGGTTCGAGGGGCAGCAGCCGTTACGACGACCGTAGCAGCAGCCGATCCAACCGCTATGATGACGATGATCGCGACCCCTCGAACTCGCCGCCTGTTCGTCGCACTGCTCGCAAGACAGAGACCTCCAAGCCAGTCGCCAAGGTCGAGCCGGTCAAGGAGGTCAACTTGTTTGATTTTGATGAGCCTATCTCGACCTCGTCTGCACCATCCAACCAGAATGCGTTTGGTGGAAATACAGCCAAGCCCGCCGCAGCTTTGGATGATGGCTGGGGCTCGCTCCAGTCGGCGACGGACGACTTTGATGATTTTCAGAGTGCGCCACCAGTCGAGACCAAGAGCCAGGCCTCGGTACCCTCATTCCCAGCCTATAACCCCACTATGGCGTCTGTTCTCCCTCCTGTCCGCACCAATAACGCCACTACCAGCAACAACAATAACAACAATACTGGATTTGGTGCATTTGGCGGCTCAAGCGGTGGATCTGCGTTTGATTTGCTTGGTAGCACCCCTGCTAGTGGCGGCAACAGCGGCATGGGCAACTTTGGAAGCACCATGCAGCCCATGTCAGCCTCCATGGCCCAATCCAAGCCCACCACCACTTCTTCCTTCCCCGCCCAGGTAATCCCCTTCACTCGTTGTCTTGTATTATCAATTCATTTCACACTTCCTTCGTTGCTACTTGTTTTGACTATTGTATTCAGCGCTTGCTTATCTTTGTCTTCATTTTATACATGTCACCTAACGTCACCATTGCTATGATCTTGCACTAATAGAACAACAATAACAACAACAGCAGTAGCTCGAATGATATCTGGTCGAATGCGTCAGGATTGATTTCGTTGGATGGACTGGGCAAGACAAAGACAAAGGAGGCTGCACCATCAATGAATGCACTTGCAGCCAATTCTTGGAACTCTGGTTCATGGGCCAACAAGCCCACGACACCATCATCAGCAGGATCGAATGCCTTTGGTAACTTTGGCAGTATGGCAACCAACACTCAGTCGACCAACAACAATAATAACAACAACAACAACAACAACAACAACAACAACAACAACAACAACTTTAACGACCTGTTGTTCTAAGTTAGAATTATCACAAGACGAAGACTACATCCTTTTTAATTGATTCCCCTGCCCCCTTTTTTTTTTTTTTATCATTCCATCATTTTTATTACAACATATAAGAACAAGCCAACGAGTTGGAGGAGAAAGAGAAGGATTTATGGTGTTTTGGGCATTGCGATAAGAAAGAGAGTAGATGGCGCCATCCACAGTCATTGATGACAAGAACGATGGGATACTGAGGATGACAAGAATGACGATGACATGAATAAATGATCAAATGCACTCTACTTCTACCTCGCTACCAGTTGCGGACATTTTTTTTTTGTATCCATGAGCTGCGCCCAATTCAATTTTCATCTGTGACCATCAAACGGATAGCTGAACACAGAAGACCCTGGTGGTTGACAACCAGCCTGGAGACATGTTTGTCTAGGTCGATAAGGTCTTTTTTTTATCCTTATTTGCTTATCTGGCCTTTTCCTTAACAGCTAGCAAAGAAATGAAAAGTACATATATGGCCAATTGCGGTGTTCACGTACCGGTAAAAGGCTCTACACGAAGAAAATAAAAGTACAGTACAACTAAAGAGGGTTGAGATTGACGACAACGAGCGAGGGAAGTAGGTAAGGCAGAAGGCAGGTGCACCGATTTCCCCTTCTACCTCGCGCCCCTCCCCTGCAGTGTTGAGTATGAGAAGAAGGGGCCTTTTTCGGCATGATAACGATGTCCATTTTTTCATTTGTGATAGAGATGATGATAATAAGGGTGATAATGGTATCTGGAATGAGAATAAGGCAGGGGTCAGCCATACATCAATCTTACTGGCTTGATATTTGATATCATTGGGCAAAGTCATTTGTGTTTGGTTCATTCCTGATGGAAATGGACATGAATAAAGTGATATGTTGATGACCTTGTTTGTGTTCCGTGGAGGAGAGGGGCACCATCATGGGTACTCTTGTTCACTCGAGTACTCTCTATGTCCTTCTTGTTGTGTTCTGTACATATTTACTAGCGCAAGGACGACGATCTCCAGCTTGTTTCTTTCTCTCTTACACTTGCGCTTGCACTCACTGTCAATCAATATGAGCACACACACACGGCGTAACTGCCCATACCCGCATCAAACAAACATACCTGCCTGTGTACAGGACAAGCCTTTTGCTTTTCTTCCTTTTTAATTCAGGGATGGTTCGCTAGCACGTTCGTTCTTCATATTCTTCCTTCCTGCCCCTTCTCTTCCTTCCTTTGGCCCCTTCTCCTTTCACTACTATCCTTGTTCTTACCTTTCCTTCCCTTCCCTTCCCTTCCCTTCACTCCTTTCAACCGGGGCCCCTCCTTTTCGCTCATCATTCCACTCAACTCTTTCCCTTACTTTATCACACTCTCATCCTCCCCTCTCCTCCCCTCTCCTCATCCTCATCAGCAGCAAACCGGCAACTTATTCATTCGATCCCATTCCCATTTCTCAACACTCATCTTTCTCTCTTCACACACACACTCATACAACTTTACTCACACTGCTCACATACATTTAAATACGCTCAGCATCCAGCCAGCCTCTCTGCCCTTGTTGGGGTCACCTCTTTAGAGTACATCCCTTTTCCCCTCCACTGTAAGTCTTCCTTATTAACTACTTCCTGCCTCTCTTCCTCTTCCTGCTTTGCCTACAGGTCAATTGCATTCTGATGCACTCGTCTTCTTTCGTTGTTTCGTCTTTGCTGCTGTTTGTATGCGAACTGACATCCCCAAACCCTCTCTTTCTGTCTCTCTTTTTCCTTCCTTCCTTCTCTCTCTTCCATCTGCAAAGAACTGTATCAAACCTCTTCCCCTCCACCCTACTCACTCAACAGCAGCAAGGATAAGGGCTAATCCAACTATCGCAAACCGCCCTTTATCCTTCACCCACTCACCCTCTCACTCTCACTTACTCATCGCTCCTCTCTTGCCTTGCATTCATTCAACCCTGCCCTCCTTCCCTCCTCCTCTGCCTTCTCCCCCTCTCACTAATGAACACGATCCATCCCTCTCAGAAACCGCATTCCGCCATGTCGAGTAGGAAGGACGTGGCCCCCGCCATGGGAACAGATAGGGTCCTCAAGAGACCCTCCTCATCGTCATCGTCGCCTAGCCATGGCCACGGCCATGCCCATGGACATTCTGCCCGTCAAGACCACCATCATAACTACACCCTCCACCATAACACCACCAACCATACCCATGCCCATACCCACACCCACACCCACCACCATCAACAGCAGCAGCAGCAGCAGCGACAGCCGCCCAAGGACTCCCCCGTGAACAACAGCTCTGGACAGTCAAGCAGTTCCTCTCGCAGGTGAGGATGATGACTCTTTTTGACTACAACCACAGCTACATCGATGTTGACGATGATGATGCACTACGAAAAAGGAGTGTTGCTGCAGAGTGCTTTTCTTTATTGATTGTGCATACCGTAGTTCTCCTTCTTTATCTCCCTCTTTGTCGTTCGTCAGTTCCTTGTCTTTGGTTGATGATGCGATGAGTGATGTTTTGGCCCTGGCTCTCATCGCCTTCACTTTTTGACGGACAAAGACAGACTAACCAACCTGTCCTTCTCTTTTCTCGCTCACTGTATCTCTCTCTCTCTCCCCCTCTCACTTTCCCTCTCCTTGTGCCTTGTGCCTTGTGCCCGTCTGTCCTTCACCCTTGACACTTGGTCCTTGGTCCTCTTGCGTTATTTCCTTCTTCCCCTTCGTCAACTGCTTCGTAATCACCACGCCACTCGGGTTCACCCATCACCTCCCAACATCGGATCTCTTCACAACTACAATAACTGCGACAACAACAACATTTTTTTTTTTTTTTTTTACGAATCGCACTCGCGCATATACGAATGTAGTCTTCACTCATCTCTGTCACTCTCTCGTCAGACCTGGACCCACTCTGCCTTCAGTCGACTGACAAACGAGTCCGAGAGCAACGGTAGCAAGGGGCAACATCATTCTCAGCTTGGACAGCAGCAGCAGCAGCAACAACAAATACAACAAACACATGCCAGTCGACTGTCCCTCGCAGGGGTTTGTTCAGTCCGCATCGGACCACATCTCTTCCTCGACACAAAGTTTTACACCGTCGTCTCCAATCCAAGCCCAACCCCAATTGACAGCAACTCTCTAGCCGCAAGGAGTATGAGTCCCAGCCTGGCGCTGAAACAAGAAACAATTGCTGCTCGACCTCAATATCTTTCGCAATCCCCACAGCATCAGGTCGCTATGGAGTTCAAGGAGAACCAAGGCAAGGTGTGGCTCTTCCCTCATGAGGCCTCTGTTGAATTCAGCCCGGCCAATGACCGTGACTCGGCTCAGATCTTGGCCACCTTCCACCTCCCCACTCCAGAGCCTGAAAACAGCAGGAGACTCAATCGATCCATTCCCTCCAGTCAGGCCATCTCCATGACCATTATGCAGGCCACTTCTGCCCTCTGGGAGGGACTCGAATTGGCTGTCAGTGGTCCTCATACCGTCATCACTCGATCCCCAACCACCAAGCCAAAGTCCAGTCCAAGTCGCCCTCACATCCCTTCAACCCACTCTGAGGATACTTCCGAGATCCTTGGTTCTGGCAAAACTGCAAAGCAGCCGTCGCCCTCCAATGGCACCACTACCAAACGCCAGCAGGACAAAGCGGTATGTTCAACTACCTGTTCGCACCCCAATTGCTTCTCTTTCTGTATTCTATTTATGCATAGTTCATTCATAGTTCCGTCCCCGCGATTTCCCTTATTTATCCACATCTCTCTCTTACACCATTAGGTCGAGCATTCCTCCAAACCCGCAAAGACCAAGCAACAAAAGGATCAAGAAGACAAAGGACGAGGGGCAGCGACCAAAGGCCCAGGTGGAACCAGTGCTGCAAAAAAGGCTGCAGCCTCAGGACCAGCATCCAACTCTACCCAAAAGAGATGTGGTTACTGCAACTGTACTACTACCCCTATGTGGAGACGAGGACCTAACGGGCCAAGCACTCTGTGCAACGCTTGTGGTGTCAAATGGAAACACGGAAAGATCATGCAGGATGTTACGGAGAGTCAACTGGCACCAACGTCAGGACTAGGCTCCAATTCTTCCAAGTCTTCCAAGGAATCGCAGGAGAACGGCTACAGTCGGCAAGCCGAGAGCAAGAAATCCGTCAACAAAGCTAGCCACAGCGGAGGCAGCAGTAGCAGCATCAAGGCTAACCATGATGCAACTTGCGGCGAATCCACCTCGCCTCAGGACAAACCAAAGGTCAAAGATGTTCGTAATGGAGGCAGACGAGGATCGGATGCCGACAAGATTGTCCCTGTCAAAAAAAGACATTTAGGTACAGTCTCCCTTCATAATCAGTAGTTCTCCTTCAGTTTGTGAGCGACCAATCGCACTTACAAAACCCTTTCTTTTTTGTTTCTTTAGCAACGTCAGTCAGTCCTCCCATTGGAGGCCCTCGGATGGTGCCCATTCACGAACTTGATGACTTGATCCGTCCCACCAGCCCCAGTTTTCCAGTCAACCATAGGAAGCATGGATATGATGATGGCAATGATGATGACGCCTATGGATCTCAAGGAGACGGACGGACCAAGCAAAGGAAGAATGGAGTTGGTCGTTCAGATCATGGTGGAGACTCTCATTCGACATCTGGCTCAAATCGATCTGCAGAGAGGGATGTCCTGTCGCCACACCAAAGCCCCTCCTCCGCAGATGACGGTCTTTCTTTGTACGCCACCAAGAATCTGTACACCAACAACACGGCCACTTTCCCGTTGCACTTTCCAACCATATCAATCGGATTTGGCCCCAACAATGCTTACTACACATATCCCAACTGCGCCGTGATCTTGTTTGAGAACCATTTCCAGATCAAGCTGATCCAAGGCGGCGAAAGGACCGAGATTGACGTGTGGAAGGAGGGTATTGAAGGCACAGAGTTTCAAGTTGTCGACGTTGGTGATGGCGAGAGTATGATTGTCATGAAGGCTCTTCTACGACAATACCTCACCAGGTAAACTATCCCCGCCTTTTGCTTGTTTCGTTATCTTTGAAAATCGTTACTTGTCTTGCCAAAAAAAGCGTGTATGTGTATGAGTGACTGACCGTTCCATGTTCGTTTGTTTGTTTGTTTGTTTGTTTGTTATTTGTGCTTTGTAGGTTTGACAAGGAGTTGCTGAACCCCGACAGGAATGAGAGTCTTATTATTTTCAGGTTTCGGGAACGATTGGATGGTGGTGGACCGTCCGTAAAGCCACTTCTGGAGCACTGGCTAGCGACTGACATTCCTGTTCCGCCTGTTCACCCTTCTCAGGACACCTTTTGAGTCAGTGTGACCCTATCCCGTTATTATTGTGATTCTTTTCCGTGTATCATACCTCTCTCCATAGGACATCCTTTCGTCCGGCCTACCTCCCTTCTTCACGGCGTTCTGCAGCCACCAACTATTTTCTATTCATTCGTGAGTTGCCACATATCCCCTATACCATGTCATTAGTACTTTCGTTTCCCTTTCCTTCTCGCTTGTCTTGCTTTACGTCCCCATGTACTTTTACTTTATTTTAATGAACTTCTCGCAACTATTGCGATTCTATTATGCAAGATGTCTCTCCTGTCTTGGAACTGGTAGTGAAATAGACACGTCAGGGTATGAGACGATTTGAGTCTTGTCTTTGAGCGCGTAATGCCTGAAACCAAAAAAAAAAAAAAAAACATGCGAGACGCGTTGTATCTCGGGGTATTTTCCATCTTGTGTCAGTCTGAGAGATGGTGAGGGGTGAACGAAAAGTGACGAGTTCCTTATATCTTAGCCTTGTCATTGTCGAGGAAAACATTTTTCTTCTTTCACCACCATACACATAGCCGCCATCTCCTTAACAGCCCTAACATTACCTATCAACCATAACCATGATCCGTCACTCGTCCAAGCAGGCAGCCAGCTCCTCAGACTCTGCTGCAGCAACCAATGCAGATAGTCCACGACAGGACACCGACTCTCCTGACCAGACAGCGACCTATAATTCTGGATCTACTGTAGACAGCACACACCAGTCCAGCGAGGCCACGCATGAAAAGAGCGACCAAAAGCTGGAAGCTACCGACCCTGATGTGTCAGCAACCACGTCTGACGACTCGTTCACGGTCGACCAAGTCAACAATGCTGTTGACACCTCCATTATCAGCGAGATCCAGGAGGAGGAACCAGTGAGAACAGACAATGCAGATGCTGGCAGTGATGGAGGATCGTTAGCTGTTCAGGAGGAAGAGGAGGAGTCCAACCCAGAGAGCAAGGTCCATTCGATCCAATTGGCTGGTCATATCAAAGGAGTCCCCAAGCAGGTTCATCATTCCGACCATGGTCAACACCACGAACACACGCAACATGACCACGACCAGAGTCCAACAGCCTCAGTGCCAAAAGACATTGCGTCCAACACAGCAGAGACCAACCGACAAGGCCATGGTCACAGTCAGCATTCTTCTGGGGACAAGGAGGGGTTCCAGGAGGTGGAGGAGTTGGAATCGACCAAGCATGCCAAGCGGACAGCGGATGACCAGGCGAAAGAGCGACATGATTACACTGCTGGCGCCTACAAGTCACCCTTCCGCCACACCCACAAAGTCGAAAAAGTCGGCCGCGAGGAGCTCTAGGTGCCTGTTGGGAGTACTGGGAAACGACGAGCAAGAATAAAGTCGACACACAGTGCATTGCCTTTATTTTTTTTTGGCGTGGGAAGACAAAAAAGGCCGTGGGCAAAGACGCATGTCCCTTTTCACGCACCCACGTTTCTCCTCTTCCCTTTCACTTCTTCCACTTCTTCCATTTGATCCCTACGCGCTCTTTCATTTCTTCCTATCCACAAAACCTGCAAGAATAGCACACACATACAAACCACTTTTTGCATCACTCATATTTTGTCTTTTTTTCGGTTGTCTTTTCCCCATCCCATTCACACCCCCCTAAACAACAACAACCATTCACATTCACTCATTACTTCCAGATGAGCAACACAGACACAATCAACACGATAGATCCTTCCTCTCACTTGTCCCTATTTCCCACTGATACGTACACTCTTATCTCTCACCCTTTTTTTTTTAATTTATTTCTCCATTAGGATGAGAAAGAGAGAAGAAGGGTGGGGTGGGGGCAATTACGCTGTGATTCGTGAGGTGAGGTGAGGGTCGTGTGTACATTCGATAGCCGGGAGGGTATATGTGTGTGTATGCTGATCGCAAAGGACTACGGGAAGCGAAAAAGTGAAGGGGAAGAGTGTGGAGGGAAGGGAAGACAAGGAATGAGAGAGGGAAGGGCGGCAAAGGTGAGCGAGCGAGAGAGCTAGAGGACAAAAGGTGGGGTCTAGAAAGAAGGGAACAGGAAAAAGTCAAACTATAGTATATCTGAACCATGCCTGTGATTGCTCAGTAATGCAAAAGTTAACTGAACAAAGAGAAAAAAATGAAATACAAGTGGCCTTGGAGCACGTCCTTGGACTCTCACTCCATACCTTCCTCCTCTTCTCGATCTTCAACAACGTCCTGATCCTCGTCGGCCTCTTCTGTATACTTTTCTTGTTGTGCTTGAGTGGAGTGAGGGCAGCAAAAGGCTCTTTGAATCGGGAAGGAGACGTCGATGGCAGAGGGGGTCGGCGGATCAAAGAAAGCGTTTCTTGCACATACGTAGCATATCGAGTTGTCCTCACAACTGAGTCACAAGGCAATGATCAAATGAAGTAACGTAATCGCCAGCACCTGTGAGGCATCAGATGAATGGCAGTGAGCATAACCAGGTGCAAAGGATTCCTGGACAGAGACTGAAAAGTAATCACCCATTGAAAAGACAGCAGTCAACTTACCACATAGCATGGAAAAAGACTCACATAAAAAATGTTACATAGCAAATGTATAGACGTACTAGAATAGTACCCGCGGCTTCGCTCGCGGAGGTGTGGAGCAAGTGTGAATTGATAAAAAAGTGGTGGTGGTTGAATATTGCAAAGTTTATTTGTGTTTGTTAGTTCCTCATTTCTCTCTCACTTTTCTATTTCTGTCTTCACTTTTTTTTTTCGTTTTGCCCTCCCTTCCTTTTTTTTTCTTTGTCAGATTCCACAAATCGTGCCAGCGTGCCAGGCCTGACTAATCCAAGCCACAGCCACGGGGAGGAGGTGTCAGACGGGATCCCTGGGAGCTCGAATGCCTATAGATACACAACTTGGGTCGCATGAATGCCATGAAGTGGCGAGCACCGAGCCAGCCCTCCGCATCCCCAATGCGACCTGTCGTGTCTGATGAGCCCTCTGTCAGTCGAGATCTCGGTCAAAGATTTTATGCAGCAGTCTCCTTTCTTTCTATCAAATACAACACCGTCTTGCCATGAACGTACTGTACAACCCTCTCGTCCGCCTCATTCAGACTTTGTTTGACAAATCGACTCGTTGCCTTGGCGGGCTAAATCCTGTCGGTTTTCCTCCTTTGCTCAAACCTGCCTTCCTCTCTCGAGGTGTTATTCCTTGGGTCATTCCCTATTCGACCGTCGCCCTTGTAACGTACGTGCCATATCTCCATCCTCCCAAAGTCCTCTATCGCACTCACAATACCTTTTTTTCTTTTCGCTTTCCCTCTGCCAGGCGGTCAACGCATGTCGAATGTCACGGTACTTTGTACTGGTACCAAAGGATGTAATGTAAAGGCAAAGACACTGTTGAAGGTCCGGGTGGTTGCAAGAAATACCTCTGAAATGGCTTTGCAATCCAGCAAGGGAAGCTTCGATGGCTGGCATTTTGACTCTTAGGCAGCACACAGAGAAGCGTGGATTAGCGACTGTACGTCCGACACGCTCCTGCGTATTCAAAATAAATAATTAAATCGCGCATCAATAAAAAGAAAGAAGAATGTAGAATAGTTGTAGGTATTATCGTAACTGGTTACCTCTGTCCAATGTAAAGCACCCCAATGAGAGCAGACCACGCTCATCAATTCCTAGATCATGTACACTGTGTCGTCCTGCTCCTTAACAGCAGCTACTCTATTCCCAAAAACACGTAGATCAGCGGGAGCAACATGAGCAACAAAGGAAACATGAGTAGCAGGGGTAACATAAGCAGCAGGGGCAACAGGAGCGGCAGAAGCGGCTGGAGTAGCAAGGACCGTGGAAGGAGTAGAAGCAAGAGATTCTGCAACGATTATGCGCTTCCTGCTCAAAAGGCAATCCGCATGAGCTGTACAACGGTGACCAAGTTGTCTGCAAGCATTACATCTCGTAGCAGAGGACTGAGGAGCACTATGCAATGCGATGGCAATAGCTCGCTCACGTTACCTAAATGGGCCGGAATGGGTCGGAATGGTTGGCGTTGGGCTGGAGCCATGCGTGGCTGCTACAATCATGCGTAACTGGGACAATCGGCTTTTCTCCTTCAGCAGGTCGTCGTTGTCGCTTATGTTACCTAAATGGGTCGGAATGGTAGGCCTCAGGCTGGAAGCATTCCCCCGGTACCAGTGCCTCCGCCGCCTGATCGATGACCCATCCTCACTCCCCTCACCCTCTCACTCAATCGTTGTCTGACTTGTAGTTAGCCAATGCGGCCCCTTCATGTGCAGAGGATATAAAAAGGCATATAAAAAATATCCAAAGCCCAAGGAACGGAGTGTTTACTTCCATAACTGACATATCTCTTCATAGTGGGCAACAGAACACAGAATAAAATAGCAATAGACAGCACAAGAATTTTTAAAATGTAATCTCTCCCCTGTATTTCGCCCCAAAGATACAGTTGAGAGTACAAGTGCTTTAGATGATGACATACAAGAACTACTCTGGCGAATCTTGCAGTGAGGGTTACAGGTTAATAGTAGATGGACATATTCAAGAGTGTGGTGTGCGAAAAATAAGAAGACTTTGTTGTTTGGAGAATAGGTTGGTGTTTAGTAGGATAGTTAAACAAAAAATGTTACAATGGTTGTCTTATATGCTTGGTATCATACATACACTCTCCTCTAATGGACGCGGTGGATATCGTCAAGATCTGCAGAGATGTAACAAACACCATATGATAATTTGGACTTGAAAGGCCTCCTAGGTGGAAGTGTCGAAGACATGTTACATTTTTAAAAAGTTCATGCTATATATACAACCACAAATGCCAACTGTTGACAATTGGATAGTTTTTAAAATATCTACTCTTCATCTGTCTCAACAACTACCAAAACTTTACATCTGGAGAGTACAATTTAGGCAATTCCTCGATCGTGAACCCCATGGCAATTAACTTCTGCTTTTGTTTGTTGTTGGTAAATTTGTCTCGACTATAGTTACTGTCACCGTTTGCAGGTATCTTATACAGCAGTCCAACAATAATGTCCTCTTCGTACCTCTTGAGCAGATGACATCCGTCGAAAAGGTAGTTGGTTGCATATTCATGCTTCTTGTCAAACGAACATGTTGTCCATTTAATTTCGTCTTTATCTATGACGATTATACCCGAGGAGCTTTTATCTTTAGGGTACCTTTTCCACATAACATCCTCAGCATCTTTATCATCCTCAGCATCTTTATCATCTTCAGCATCGTTATCACCCTCAGCATCTTTGTCATCCTCAGCATCGTTATCACCCTCAGCATCTTTGTCATCTTCAGCATCTTTATCACCCACCGCATCTTTGTCATCCTCAGCATCTTTATCGCCCTCAGCATCTTTATCATCCTCACATGTGCTCTCATCTTTCTGTGGCAAGCTTTGCTTATGCTCATGCGGTTTAAATCCCATAGCAAACAACTTCTCTTTTTCCTTCTGGCTAAGAGAATGACACTCTACATTCTCTGCAGCAATATGGTCATCAGTCATCAAGCCGATTACAGTGTCTTTTTTGCGCATCTTGAGAATGTGCATTCCATTTACAAGTACATTCTCGGAATATTCCAAGTACTTGTTAAGTTTTTTCCATATCACCTTGGATTTATCTGTTGGTCCTTCTACTGGTACTTCTTCTTCTACTTCGATCTCCTCGTTGAAAAGCGTCTTTCTCTCTTCATCAGACAATGGTTGAAGTTTCATCTTGCTAAGCATGGAGCGTTCCAAGATATCCAACTCTGGAACATCACCGACACCGCGCAGAGCATCAAGCGTAAACAGGCCAACGTATGTATTCTTTCCAGATAGCCTGACAATGTACTTGCCATTCATCGTAAACTTAGTTGCATACTCAAGCATGTCGTTATTAGGATGAATCATCCATCCTCTGTCCTTCGCACGTGCTATGTCTTTCTCTGATCTAATGTTATGCACCGTTGTGGCCAGTGCAAATGTATGTTCATCTTTTCCATCCTTAGAAACGTCTACATTAGAAGATGGCTCTGCATTTTTGGGCATCTTTGAAGGCCTTTTCTTTCGAAGAGTCTTCTTCTTATCATCCTTAGATGACTTTTTATGAGATAGTTTTTCATCAGGGTTATCCTTAGAGGTATCATCTCCAGATTCTACATTAGGTCTGTTATTGGACTTGCCATCATCAGAGTCTTTATCATCAGGGGAATCATCGTCAGAGCCAGCATCATCAGACGTATCACCATCATCAGACGTATCACCATCATCTGTATCATCGTCAGAATTCTCATCAGCAGAAGACTCTTCTATTTTTTCTACATCTGCAGGAGT